CAAGTTCAGTAATACTTAATTTGAAAATTAGCCTTTTCTGCTTTAATTTTCAAATGCTCAGCTTGGCACGCCGCCACTTATCCACGTCTCCGCCCCAGGGCGCAGTAATCCATCTGCGAGAATCGGCCCAATTTTGGCAAATGCATTCTGGTGCTGCACAAGTGTGACTTGCAGTTCGTATGGTTCTGCTGATTGTTACTACACCCTGCTGTACTTCTTTTATGATGGCTTAAACAGGTGGGGGTTTTTTTTGGTGTTTTCTTTTTTTTTTTTTTTTTAGCTTCCAAGTAATTAGGGAAATTAAAGTCTAGAAATGGAACATTGTCTTGGTAAGAGGTGAAGGGAGACAGACACAACGTATTGTATTCACAGTCCTCCTTGGTATGCGCTGTGTGCATGCTGGGCAGGGCTAATTCTGCGTGTACAAGAAGACCAGGACAACATCTGCCCTTTGCAGTAGTGCAGCAGAAACTTCCTACCACAGAGATTAGATTTCCCTTTACATACCATTTTTATTTGTAGGCAAGTTTCAAAGAGGTACCTCTGTGGAGACACATTTCTCATGTGTTATAGTTTTTGCATAGTATTGATTGATGATATCCGTTTGCTGTTTTGGAAGGTTTATCTAAAACAGGGCCTCTATAAAAATGATTATTTAAAATATGTTAATGACATCTTTCACTTGATAAAAACTTTAGGGCCTTTTTACCTTCAACCATAACTGTATGAATCACTGTAAGTGAAAAAAATAACTTTTTTCACTGAATCTCCATGCAAAGCAAGAATCTGAAATTGTGGCCAAATAACTGCAGTGATAAAACTTCAGAAAAAAATTTGTACTTGAACATCCTTAAGATTTCAAAACTCCATAAACACAGGGTCTCATTTTTCAGGGAATTCCATGTAGATGAAGTCGGACACCCAGATGATGGCCTGTCTCTGTAAGTGACTGGCTTGAACCCAGATGCCCTGAAGATGCGTTAGGATAGGCAATGGTAGTGCTTCCCCACCAACCGCCTTGGACTATTTTGCTAGTCTTTTCTAGAAAGATCAAGAGAAAGGATGGAAATAGAGCTTTCTCCTTCTTTTGTTGAGCAAGTAGTCAGGCAGGAGCCACTGTAAGGCTCTCTGGGGGTATAAAAAGGACTGGGAATATCACACTTCAAATAAGTTAGCACTACGTTTAGTCACTGCTCACGTAAGCTGAGTTTAGCTGGCAGCCGATGATCATCAAAGACGTCTGTATCCCACTGATGACCCTCCGAGCTATAAACTGCTGCTACCCTATTTCAAGATCTGCATTTTAATTCATGTGATAAAAAGAGTGCACCAAAATAACTTAGCAATAAGCCTGCTAGATGGGCAGAGTCAGTGGTGGTGATGCTGATCCCTATGTTTCTTGTGCAAGACCACCGCTAAGGAAAAGGTCCCTGGGAAGCTTTTTTTAATAGTCTTGGGTAAAGGCTGCCTGGAGGAAGAAGCTTCTGGAGGTTCATGGTCTGAACATGTGCACGTGTAGTCGCCCTCGGTAATGGATTTGGGAGGCGATCCATGAAATTGGCCAGGAAACCTTTATGGCAAGAAAAATGCTAGCTTTGATTAAATGAAATTAAGAAAATGAATTTTAAACAAGGGAGATATGGTGCTGGCCAGCTGAGCCTAAAAATTTCTCAGCGCTTAATTTAATGATGCATTTGTACTTTCAGGGTGAATGCAACTGGAACTGGTTCATCTCCCTTTCTGCTTTTGTTTCATTTATCACTATTCGATTATTGGTTCTGTTTACTCTTAACATAGTCCTTTCATTTGCCTTTTTTTGGTGTAAAAACTTCCAGCTGCTGTGCTCAGCCTGAACTACAATTAGCATAGGGTAATAATGGAGCAATTAACTACAATTAACATGGAGTAATAATGAAGCAGGAGAAAAGAGTGCCCTGCCAAGGTGTTTTATTAAGAGCCTGACACTATACTCCTCACCATGGAAAAGTTGTTGCCCGTATGCTGTACATACCAAGCCGTCTGCTGGTATGTACAGCTCTCCGAAATGCGACCCTCCTCCTGCGGCTTGTTGCTATTACACCAAATGGTGCTTCCATGTTAATGTGCAGATATAATCTGATTAAAACCTCTTTCCATCGTGTATGAACGACTTCATCTACAGGGAAAAGGATTTCAAAACTGGAGCAGAGTTTCCTAAGCTGTGGTGTGGTCTCAAGCTGTCGAAAGTGGTGTCCTACCTCCTCTCTCAGCTGGGGAAAAAATGTTTCTGTTCAGTGCTGTGGGCCAAAAATGCTTTGAAATCTCCTGCTGGAACTCACTAATTTTGAATATTAAGTAGCTAGAGTTATTTCAGCTTTTTAGTAGAAAAGAGAAGTGAAAAGGGTTGGAAAAATCTCAAAAGGCTTTTTAGCAGAGAGAGGTTATTTTCAGCTGTCTCTTTCCTTTGTGGTGAATACTTCTTGCCCAAGAACTTTAAAATTTAGTAAAGCTGAAGAACACACAGAAAAAAAAGTGTTTTCACTTAAGTAAGGCTGCAGGGACCCTCCCAACGAGAAACTGCTGCTGTTTTCCTCCATCTTCCGAGCACCTCCCACAAAGCTAAATGAAGATAATTGGAATAATAAGGAAGACGAGCTTTACAGGAATCCCACCATGAGAGGTCAGTGGAAATTCCCTCTTCCTGAACAAAGCTGTTTGCTTATTCTGTTTGCTTTAAGTTAAATGTTTAAATAGCAACATTACATTGGGGTGTGTGCTCCTTGAGATATGAGACCCAGCCTTTGCATACCTATAAGAAAGTGTTTTTCCTCGTACTCCTAAAAGCAGGTCAGTTGTGTTTGATGCCATTGGGAACAAATAACCTTTTTGAGAAATTAAAAAGTAAGATGTTATTGGAAACAGGATTGATTAGGAGATGCCATGGCATTTACATCATCACATTATCTAGTTAAAAAGTAGAATCTTTTGAGGATAGGATATTGGGAAGTATTTTGGTTCAAGCACCAACTTACTAGGTAAATATTTTCATTTTTTCACCTCCAACATTTGGGTTGTTACTTTTATTCTATTTTATAGACTACTTTCATAGAAATTTTCACAGGTACTTGACATTTTTTGTCTCCTCCAATGCTCTGTTTATTACTGTAATGGTGATTACAGCTTGGTACCTCATACTGCAGGTTAACAACTGTGATTAAACTGTTAGGACAGCTAAGCCTTTGGCTCCCATTTGAGCCTAAACCATTCAATGTTGTGCCACCAGCCCACACAGGTATTTATTGCCTTAATTTGAAGCACATCAGTGGCTGTCCATGAGAGAATTCAGGCACATCCATGATCTGCTTGTATTGGTAATATGAACAAGTGGCTCCAGTGTGAGCCAGAACCTGAACACAGCTAGCAACTATGATATGATGAACGTGGCTCCTTACACGCAGGAGAACTGCACATCTCCAAGAGTTGCCTTCAAGACCTTGTGAACAGGTGTGCAGAGCAGGATCTTCAATGAAGTTTCTGGGTTTTTGGGGGTTTTTTTCATTTTTTTTTCCTCCCCCACCACTAGAGAGAGAAGAAGTCTCGGGCTGGAGCACTAGTGAGGATGAACATGGCAGTCCACACATGGATCCACTTAAGGGGCTCTGAAACCTTGCCCCAAAACATTCGCAACAAAGTAGTCTGTCTGTCATGATGTCAGCCTGGCCCACACACATCCAGGGTATTTATGAACAAACAGAAAATACAGGAAGAGCAGAGTCATGCACTGAAACGTTGTTTCTGAAGAATAAAATTTTATTTTTTTCTGAAAAAACTGCATACACATGTTCAGATTTGTTCAACCTTCAAAACATGTCTTAGTTTCCAAACAAACTCTGTTCTTTTAAGCATGCAGGACCCCACTGCAGCTTGATAAAGAAGTTAAGAGGGTTTTTTTAATCCTATAACTGACATAATTTGAAAGCTATTCACATTTGGCACCTCTCACTTCTAGTAACAGCAGCATCAGCTGTTAGATCCATGCACTGTATGGCTATAACTTATGATTTGGCATTGACATTTGATTTAGGTGTAGAGTGAAAACCAAACAAACCTTCCATTGTTCAAGAAACTCCCCGCAGGCAATTATAATAAATCTCATTTCTTCTTTATGAAGGAGATCTCTTTAAGCACTCAGACTTCCCTGCAGTTATTAAAATATTACTTCCACTCTATTTTCTGGATCATCTTCCTCTGGTGCAGACATGCACTTTGCTTGCCTTGGTGAATGGCAGCAGAAAGAAAAGATGTCTCAGTTTTTACCAAAGGCGGCAGGAGTGCACTGAAACAGAGCCACTTCTCTTTCTTTCTGTCCTTTTCAGTAAACTGCAAACCATACCTACAGTATGGTTTTTTTACTATCTTAGACCATCTAAACTCAGATGCAGCAACTTAGATGCAAAAAGTTGGATTCAAGTTCATACTCCTATTACTTTCTCTTCTAATTTCCTCTCCCATCCATTAAAAACCAGAAGACAATAACCAGCCAGATATGAGTACTCAAATCACGCTGTATTATACTCATCTTCCTTATATGCTCTAATCTGGGTCAAAGAAGGCATGGTGTGTTTTGCCACTGCACTCTGTTGACAGAACTTCTTTGCATATAATGAGCGTAGTACCCCTCCTCACAGCCATCATAAACAGTCTTTGCTGCTTTATACATGCCAGTGTGATTAAATTAGGGTGCTGAAAGTGGGAGCAGTTGAATATTAGGTAAACATGGCATTCCAAGTGACGTGTCATTATCACACAGCAAAAGCTGGCCTGTGTTTCATTTAACAGGGACTGTGCAGCCAGTAGTCAGTGCATTCTGGTTTTCAGCTATGGTAATTAAGCAAGCTATGTTTTGTAAGAGAAAATGGTATTTTCTTAACTGCAAAACTGCTTCAGAATAAATACACAAAATTGAAGAAGACACTGCATTTCACAAGTTGCAAGAGCTGCTAATCATTACTCAGGCAAGTTCAGTTCACGATGGAAACCGTGCTTTCGGGCTGGCCTCCAAATATCTGGGAGAAGAACTCAAAAGCCAAGCGGACATGGATGGGGACGAAGACGTAAGCCGTGTACACCACCATAGCGAAAACAGTCACAGTGATGGTGTGGAACATGGACCGCTCCCAGGGCTCCAGCACGTAGCTGCAGGTGATCAGTAGGTACTGGTAGTACAGCCAATAGATATAGTCCTTCACACGCTTAATATCCATCTTCAGCTTTCAGCGATTTTGAGATGACCTGTAAAGACAGAGAAGTCTGGATTACAGCTGCAGTGGAAAGAAAGACCTGGAACTAAACAATGATGCGGTGACCATCATTTCAAGTTTGATACCACATGTAATTGTTACATAAAGTTCAAACAGAAATGACACATCAGTGCCACCACCAGCCTCTGCTGCCCTGGAGCAGAGGAAAACCATCTTTTAGCTCTAGCAACTGCTCTTTGCAGTCATTGAAACTGTATCAGTTGGGCACTCTCTATTCCTACGTTCTGATTATGAGTGTGTTTAGCTATTCATTCTGCAGTAGGAATTAAAACCCCATTAGCGTACAAAGGCACAGGGTTCACGTGGAAGTCAAGGAGATATCCATTTACAAGGGAAGGCTTTGGGCCAGCTTCCATAAATGTGGATGGCAGACTCATATGCGCTGGAATAAAGATGAGATTAAAAGAACTGCTCTGTAAAAACTCCTCTGCTTACTTCTGATGATAATTTTTATTATTCTGCAATTGTTGGGAATAAAGAAAAGAAAAACTATGAAAGGGAGGGAAAAAGTAATCTCAAATAGCATAAGAAGTTTTTTCAGCTCAATCCAAAGAAATAAGATACATTACAAATTAAGGGAGTATTTAATGGAAGTTACAAGTCTAGGAAAGATTTTCCTCTCAGGTAATACCTTTATGCATTTGTTGTTCCTGTCTCCACAGAGAAAGGAGAATAGCTGAGCAAGTATTAACTAGGAAATGGGGTTTGCCTTCCACTGTTTTTTGTTAAAATTGCCTTTCAGTATTTTAAATAATCTTTAAATTCAGGCTAAAAACATCTACTCAGAGAAAATACAGAGACAGAATGATAAGCAATTGTATGAGGCTTCACAGAGGGACTCCTTTATTTTGGGGATTGAGTTTAAGGACATGCATGCCGACTGGGTTAGCTCACAGTAAAAGGGAATACAGCAGATTTTAGTCCTGCTGGAAAACCTTCCAATGTATCATTTTGTCCTACACTTCTGTTGCCTAAAATGCCAGGAACATTGATGCCTGGACACGTCACATCCCTCCAGTCTTGTCTTCGTAGTGAGTTTGGGGCAACAGAAATTTTCTGTCCCTCAATGCAACAAATACTAAGGTAGCACTGGAAAATTTGCGGCTTGTGATTAAAATAATGATGGGCCACTGGTATAGGCCAAATATATTACAATATTCAGTGGTTTACTGCCTCTGGAGGCTGTATGGTATATTCTGGTGGTATGTGGGTATTTAGTGAAGGGAAGACAAATTACCAATAAAAAGGATCCCTCATTTATTTTGTAACAGGTTTATTTTGGTTACTGATGTGTAAAATTTTTCTCTGGCGGATGCACTGTTAAGTGCACACACCTTGACGGATCGTGTTTCTCCATCTTTCTTCCTTCAGGTCACCGGTACTGCCAGTTGTTAAGGTTCAACATTCCGGTATTAAGTTGCAAACGGAGCATGCTGCCAGCTTACACCTCGCCATCTGCAGATGCTATAAGGTAGATTTTTATCCCTTCTTCTTCGGGAAGGCAACAACTGTAGGCTCACCCTAAGCGTGGCAGACTGATTGAATTGGCACTCCAACTGCCTGTCCAATACTGTTGATAAGGGAGCTGACTGTCTTTGCTCCCCCTCCTTCATCCATGTGCTGGCTCCTCTCCCGGTGTTTCTCCTCCCATCCCTCTGCTTCTGTCCAGACCTCCTCGCATCTGTTCCCCAGTTGCTCCTCAACTCTCAACACCCCCATGAATGCAACCTCTTTGCTAGCAACAAGTGCAGTGAAGCTGTAAACACTGTGCATTAAAAAAGGGAAGGAGGCTTGTTTGTGTTCACCGATTTTTATGCAGAAAAATTTCTGTACTTGCCCCATCACCCACCCAGCCTTTACTTTTCACCAGCCCCTCTTCTTCTGTGTCCTCCAACCATAAGTACCTTCCCCAATATATCTTTTTCCCCCTCCTTCTCCCAAAGCAGTCCGTTTCCTTCACTTCCATCTTCCCTTAGACTACTGTCTCCTAGACTACATCTCCTAGACGAAGAGGCTGCCTACAATGCTTTTAAGGGGCAGATCACTTCCATTTCAAGTCTAGCAGTGACTGTCTTTGCTGTGAACAGCTTTACTTGCAAGGGTACAGGCTGGGGAGAAAGGCCACCACTGGTTTCTGTCCTGGTATGAATGGAAGATGATTCCTTTCAGATAAATTATTTTAAGGCAGAACTCAAAGACAGGTCTTAAAGCCTTGTAAATATTGCAAAGCCTGCAATAAAAATGGCACAGCTGGCAAACTGTGACTCACTGGGAGCCAAAAGTGTCTCTATTTATACCTTCTGCAAAAAGAGCAGCATTTTTCAATGAAGAGCTTAAGCCCTTTTCTATATAATTGCAAGGAAAACGATAAGGGCCCTCATACTATCTAGGATTATGGTATTTACACTGGGGTTATACCTGTGCTAGTTAAACTCATACCTTTCTTGGGTAAATATCTGTTAAGCCTGACCGCCGCACAGAGAAACTGCAAGGCTGGAGTGCTTGCTGTGGGTGTTTAAGGCTTCAAGATTATCAGAGGGATGCTGCAGTGGTTTTGCGGGGAGAGATCCCAGGCCAATGGAGCTTTCTGCCCACAGCGGCACATACACCTTTATATCTTAATACAGAGCTGGTATAAGGAAAAGCCAAAGACAAGAAGAAATTCCCTAGGCTGATTTTACTGGTATTAGACCAGTCTACCAGGCTGCAGACTCACCACTACCACTTACTAGACATTGCTGTCTTGGAGGGATGCATGAATAAAAGTATGAAGTAATTAAAATAAGGAGCAGACCTTTTGATTTATACCAAAGACCTTGTTACACTTTCTCCAGCCTGGGGACTGTGTTTCCATTCAGCTCGGTCACCAAGTTGTAGCAGCCAGCCTGTGTTTCTTCAGTTCTTCCTGTTCACAGCACAGGGGGATAACCTCATCCCCAGGCACTCAGACACACCTGTAATGGGACTCCCTGGACTATCAGCAAGAATGCAAGCCGTCTTAACGCAGAGACTGCGCAGTCTCCAAATGAATGATAGAGGTTGAGATAAGTAAAAGACAAACAGTCAAATTATAGTCTCTGTCCTCACCACTAACACACTTCCACTGCATTTAATCTACCCAGAGACTTTCTCCGTTAGCAGGACTGTCTTGGTAATGCAGCAAACACAAAGGGCGTCTTGGAATAATGCAATTCTAGATGCATAACTTATAAGAGGAAAACATAGGACAGAAGGAAAAAAACCCATCTTAAACCAGCTGCTCAGTCAATGAGATACAAGAATCCACTGTGTTACTGTGACATAGATACCTTTTCTGAAGGTACCCCATTTGCATTAATTAAAGGCCAGTTTTAAGCAGAAGCAATAGCTCAAAGCTCCACACCTCCGGAGGTCTCACGCAGCCTTACCACCCAGGCCAATTACTTCGTAGCAATAATCAAAGGGAATGGCAGATCACTAGACAAACAGAAACTCTTGAGGCTAAAAATTCTGTATTTTAAACAGGACTTGTCCTAGAAAGGCTTCCACTTACATTTTTAAGCATTACTGGGTTTTATTACATTAATGCTGCAATCAGCTGGTGCTCTAAGTTGAAAGGGTCCTGCGTTATTAGCTCATCAGTTCCCAATATTCCAGAACAGGAGATAATTTGCTGTTATGCAATTTTAACTTAGTGCTCATTTGTCTACAAATTTGAATTTAAGTATTCAGTTGTGTTGTGGAAATGCCTTCCTGTTTAGAGGCCATAGGACTGTTACAACTAGCTATGAATAAAATGAATAGAATTCAGCTTCTAAAGCCATTAAGCAATATTCAAATTATTTTCAGCAATTTCACCTCCAAGCAAAAAAAGCAAGAAGAGAAACCTGTAAAGCAGCTTTTATTGTTTTAAGTGGCAACCTGATTTTCTTGCTTGTTGACACATGTCTCACATTAGGGCAGCCGAAAAGATAAATCATCATAAAAAAAATCCCAGGTTTCATTTAAGAGCATGCCTAATCTAAAAAAAAAAATTATTAATAACCTTAGTTCCCAGTGTTAGAGCTACTGTTTGGTGTCATAGTCTGAAGATGCGAGTGTTAAGTACTTTACTATATTATTTCTACTTTGAGCGATGGGGTTTTGGGGACTTCGTTCACACTAGCAGTCTGCAACTCCGATGGGTGTCTGCACAGCACATGGCAAAATGCACCTGCTGGGAAATTCCTGTGGAAAGAAACATTCTTGCAGGGGAACTGGGATAGACTGGTTTCCAAAGAATGCTTGAAAAACACCTTACTCCCTCAGTAGGAGAGTTTGGTTGATTTACTTACACATATAGAGAAAAAGGGTTTGCAACATATAGTCAGGTCTAGACTGGGGAAAAACAAACCCTGGGGCTGGAGATAGCTCTATAATTATTAAACAGGTGGTCTCTGATGCTTTGAATGTAAAGTAGGGACAAGTGTTATAAACAAGGTAGGAAGGAAAAACAAGCAAACAAGCAATCCACCCCCAAAATGCAAACATTTAATTGGCTAAAAATTGGCCATTTGCTAGATTATTGCTGTGATAGCACAGAAGCAAGAGTTGGTTAGTCTTGCAGAATCCTAAGGGATTACACTTGTGCTGAAGCTTAAATAAAATCCTGCCACGGACCCTGAGGCTGGTATTTGGTCTTGTATGCAGGACACCTACAACACGTAGGCTCCAAAGAGCAGGTGTGACAAGGCAAAGTGCAATAATTATTCTGTAGTTGTTTGATATGTAAATAATTTCAGCTATTAGAAGAGGAATGGGTAGTCATCCCCCTTGGGTATTGAAATATATGTCCTTTCTGCAAGTTATTTATCTGTAATTGTTCTTACTTATTTGTAATTTTATTGTGTTAGATGGGTTTTTTCTACTCAGGCAGCATATCCTGACTTATCCAAGGCACCAATCTTGTCCCTCTTAATGTAACATAATTCCGGGATTAACCCATTGATTTTATGTAGACTGATGTGTCTGAAAATGCAAATAGAACAAAGGGATTCACATTCCCAGTCCATCATGCATTTCCTTTAATATGTTTTATTCTGTAAGCACCAAGCATAGCACATAAGGAATGAAATACAGGTCCTGTGGACCAGTAATTGGGAAGAAATTTAGATGAGGCAGCAGTTAAAATTGTGCAGAGAATCCAAATGCCAGCATTTCCTGGGGACACCGTCTCAGTCGGTTCCTCTGTTGCATCTGTGCTGCTCAGATTCCCCATACGCAGCATGGCCCGTGGCCATATAGCATCAGCTCAGCCTAGAAAGCTGCCTATCGCCTGCTGCCAAGCAGAACCCTCAGGTTACTGTAGTGCTTACACATGGATATTTAAATGTACCCTAAAGTTTGTTTTCACAGGGAAGTAATGCCAGAAAAAGAATGTGAATGAGAACAGCAGCAATAATCTCAGCATAGCTCCCACTACGGACAAGTATGTACCATTAAAAATGTCTTTACATATAGATTTTAATAAATAACCCCCCACCTCTAATTCTGGAGTAAAAATGCACAGTAGCAGTGAGGCCATCTCTGGTTTCTCTCCCTGAGCATTCATCTTCCTGAATCAGCAGCTCATCGCACATTTGGCCATACATTACTGCCAGCTACTGTGCTACAGGAATTGTAAACTCATTACGTACATGTTCTTGCCACCATCCATGCAACACCAGAATGAAGTTCAGAGCTGATGAAATTTTCTTGCTGTACATGACTCAGACATTTTGCGTGTGGGTGAACATGGTTCGACTGTGCCTATGGGTTTTTTTTTGAAAAAAATCTCCAGGAGCGGAAAAATACTTCAGGAGCAGAAACAGTAAGGCAGAAAAGGCAATGGCATTTTCAGCCACATTTCTGCTTTACCTTGCTCAGAAGAATGAACTCCAGCAGTTTCCT